CACACACACACACACACACACACACACACACAAATGTAGCCAGGCACAGTAGTGACATGTACCTCCATGTACCTACTCAGCAGGTTGAAGCAGGATTGCTAGAGCTGAGGCATTCAAGGTCAGCTTAGGTAACATTGTGAAACCTTATCTCTACTTTAAAAAAAAAGGCACAATTTTTGCTGAATGTGTATTGTTTTCACACCATCAAAAGTTGAAAAGTCGTAAGATAGAAAGCCATTATAATTTGGAAACAATCTATAGTCTCTCAAAATGTAAGACTGCACCATTTTCCCAAGATCATACCCTAACGAGCCATAGAACTCCAATTCAAACCAGGTTTTTAAAACCTTTTAGCCCCTTCTTCACATTTTAGGACACTGATTACTAGAGTCAGAAGCTTATGGTGAATTTCACCTATTCATACTTACAGATGTCCCATGATATTCGTACTGCTCGTAGTCAAAGAGGATATCTCGTCTGTAATGACATAAAATGAGTCTTTAATAGGAAGCAGCACTGTAGGAAACCAAGTATTTGGAAAAATGCTAAAATTTCAGTCTTCAAGCTGCACATGGTGGTGCACACTTGTAAAGCCAGCAGTTGGGAAGCTGAGGCAAGAGGATCACTAGTTCAAGGCTAGTCTGGGCTACATAACGAGTTCAAGGACAGCCCCTGCACAGCCCTCAAAGGAAAGCAAAATACATCATGGTATCACTGTTTTCTTATTGACTCTTTAGTACAATGTATGTGCAACACTGAGAGGGCAGTAAAAGCCACACAAATTGTTTATGACAATGTACAAAGTAAAAAGATACGGTCCCAAAATTCCAATTCAGAAAACAATCTAAATCTGAGAAATTATCCCAAAATAATTCAGTAAGACAAAACACAACAGGGTACAAAATTAGGCTGCAGCCTTATTTGTAAAAGTAAAATATTGGGAATAACCTACAGTTCAAAAAGGAGTGAAAAATCTAGTATGTGGTGCTGGGAACTGAACCCGGAGGCTTGGATTTAACCAGTGCACACTGTACACGTGTGGCAACATCGCACTAAGCCCATTAATACCTACAACTAACATGTGCTAGTAAGAAAATAAAAGATGAAAAGACAGGAAATTGCCAATTAAGTACTAAGCAGTCTATAAAGGCTGTTCAGAGCAATAATGGTTACATTATATAGAAAAATACAAAATTAGATGTACATTTTGATTATATAAAAGAAGCCCAAGTATGGACAATTGAGGAAGAAAAATCAAAACAGAATCTCTCTGAATTAGGTGGTGAGATTATCTGATGAATAAACATTTTATAATAAAAGAATCTACATTGAAAAACCTGATAGAAATAAAGAGCCAAAGGCCATCACTTCTAACAGATGGAATGGAATGGATCTGGGCCTATTCTGTCCATCTTGGGACCAGAAGGCAATACAGATAGTGACTCAAGCTTGTTTCCAGTGAGGTGGCCACGTGGTTACTCCTGGAACAGCTGGCTCTGAGGTTCTAAACTAAAGGCTTTATCCTAAAATGAAAGTAAATGAACTTCATACAGCATCTTGAAAAAATAAAAGGTATCAGTGGTGCTACAGAGCCTAGGAGATTCTGGATGCTAGACTCACCTCCGGGCCTCCCACTCTTTCCGCTGTCTCCTCTTCATGGTTCGCTCCACCAGCTCCTGAGGTGAGGATAAAAAGAACAGAGGGTTGAGCACAGCACCAGGATCGGGCCAGCCTGATAGCTCAGCAGACTAAAGTGCCTGCTTAGGCAGAGCACAGCGGCCAGGGTTTGATCCTCGTGTTGTGTGCCAGCCCTGCCCATGGGGTGTGCTGAGATGTGGTGGCACATGCCTGTAATCCCAGCACTCAGGAGGCTGAAAACAGGAGAAATACTAGTCCAATCTATGTAGTGAGACCCTATAGACCCTGTAGACCTTGTCCTATATACAGAAGAAAGAAAAAAAGCACCCGGATTTTAGTCCCACAGCCTGAGGTTTCAGTTTGGTAGAAGCTGGTGGACTCAGGCCTTTGAAGAAGTGTTA